TCAAGGGCTGGGCGCCCACGGCCCTCGGCTACTCGGCCCAGGGCTTCTGCAAGTTCGGCTTCTACGAGATCTTCAAGGATTTCTACTCGACGCTTGCGGGCGAGGAGAACGCCTACAAGTACCGTGGCATGATCTTCTTGGCTGGTTCGGCCTCGGCTGAGTTTATCGCCGACGTTGCCCTCTGCCCCATGGAAATGGTCAAGGTGAAGGTCCAGACGTCGCCTGCCGGCACGTTCCCCGTCGAGCTCGGCCCTGCCGTCGCCGCCATGAAGGCCAACGCCGCCGAGACCCGCTACCCGTTCGGCTCGGTCGTCCCGTTGTGGTCGCGCCAGATCCCGTACACGATGGCCAAGTTCTTCTTCTTCGAGAAGGTCGTCGAGGCGTTCTACACGCACGTCTTCACGGAGCCCAAGGAGTCGTACCCCAAGAGCACGCAGCTCGGTGTCACGTTCGCCTCGGGTTACCTTGCCGGTGTCATCTGCGCCATTGTCTCGCACCCCGCCGACTCTCTCGTCTCGCTCATGGGCAAGGCTGAGAACAAGGGCAAGGGCCTTGGCCAGATTGCCTCGGAGACCGGCTTCGCCAACCTCGCCACGAAGGGCCTCGGCACGCGTATCATCATGATCGGTACGCTTACGGGTCTCCAGTGGTGGATCTACGACTCGTTCAAGTCGGCGCTCGGCATGGGCACGACCGGCGGTGTTGCCAAGAAGTAAATATTCATCTAGTCTCGAGTTTTCTAGATTCGCCGACTGGCACCAATATACGCATTCTGATGTCATCTTTTGTCGATGAATCTAGTACTAGGAATGTCGCATGCGGATGGTGTGTATCCGAGGAGAAATAGGCGGCGGCGCAGAGAACCACGCGTCGCTGCATGATGCAATCGACTCGTAGGACATCCCCGTCCATCCTTCGGGCGCGATGAGTGACCAAAGTATAGATTGTGCAGTACGTCGCATCGAGCGCAGGAGCAAGGACACGGGAAAAGGCAATGGAAATCCAATTGCGCTCTGCATGTTCCTCTCGCCAGTAGCTCGCCAGCGCTTCACGCCAATATCGAGTACTCTCTTTTATTTTTAATGCTTGAAAATACTTTTTATCCATAGGGAACCGACAGATTATCCGGACAGCCCACACACCAGAGCTGCGGAGAAGCAAGTATGGGACGTAGCCGCAGTCCAGCTCGCCACCGCAGTCGGAGCCGTAGCCGCAGCCGTGGTCGCAACAACCGCCACCGCGATGTGCGCGACCGCCATCGTGACAATGAGAAGGATCGCACGCCAGAGCGCCGGCGCCGACGGAGCTCTGTCGAGGAGACCAAGGAGTCGCCAACGAAGGCGCCAGAGGACTCAAAGCCGAAGGTCACAGAGAGCAACGGCGAAATCAGTATGAGTGTTGAAGAGACAAACAAGCTTCGTATCTCAATGGGGCTCAAGCCTCTTCGCCTCACGAAGCCCGAGTCGAAGGAGGTCAACCTGGCCAAGTCGCGCGAGGACCTCGCAGCCGAGGCGCACCAAAAGCAGCTCAAGGAGACTCTGGAGAAGTCCAAGCGAAAGCGCGAGTATACCGCCAAGATGCAAGGCAAGTCCCTCGGTGAGACGCTCGCCGAAGATGCGACGTCAACCCTCGATTGGGTCCGTCGCAGTCGGACAACGGCGCCTGCGCCTCTTCCAGGCGCGAAAGCACCCGCGGCTGCCTCTTCTACCTATAGCGCAATGGACCTTCAAGGTCTCACGGTCGCTCACGATGCGCAGTCGTTCGAAGAGGGCGAAGACGTCATCTTGACGTTGAAGGACAACCGTATCCTTACCGATGACATGGGCAACGTGAACGACGCCGACGACGAGCTCGAAAACGTGACGCTAACCGAGGCCGACAAGCGCAAGGAGCGCGAAGAAATGGCGAAGCGCGCGGCCGGACCCGTCTACTCGGGCTTTGACGATGACGAGTTTTCGACCGTGCTCGGCGACCGACCCAAGAAGCGGCTGCTTACGCAATACGATGAAGAAGACGATATGAAAGAAGCACGGGCGCGCAAAAAGTTTGCGCTCAGCGCCCTCGGTGGTCATGTCGTCGAGACGCCGTCCTTGCCGGCGTCGGCCGTGTCAGCGGGCACTGTCACCCTTGGCTCCATAAAG